GAAAAGTAAGAGACCTTGATAAGGTGATAGCAAGGGCTGTGTGCCTGTCCATTTGGAGGAGCAGCTGGGGAAAGGTGCACAGAGCCAGTCATCTTCAGCAGGGTTTTGAAAGCCACTGAAGGACTCAAGTGCCAAGCCTTTCTCCTGTGGGCAGCAGCAAAGGCCTATTCAAGCAGAGTCCGGGACTTAATCTAAGCATGATGCCTAACTTTTGTTCCTTCTGTCTGGAATTTTTTCTCTCACATCTGATCTCAATTATCATTCAAAGTCAGTTTGATGCCACCTTTCCCATGATACCCAGCTTGACTGTGTTATCTTTTTTCCTACACTGTGAACTAGTTCCTCAAGGACAGAGACTGCCCTGTTGTTCGTGCGCAAGTGCCTAGGAAGAGCAGGATCAGAAAATATGGGTGAACACTAGAAGTCGTTTCTTCCTTCCTGGCTCTCACAGAACAAGAAGCTCCTCCTTCCTTATTGCACTCTGTAATATCTACCTTGCATCATATACTGATGTTCCTGTAGGAAATATCCCCTTCTGAAACATGAGCCCCCTAACGACAGGGTCTAAGTAGGTCTGATGTGCCCCATCTCTGAGCTTACCCAGGGTGCCAATCAGGCAGAAACCCTGCCTGTTCACGTGTAATACAGATGTGCAGGTGTTTCTGAGTTTGTACACAGAGGAGAGGGGACTGCTGAAAAGTGACTTGAGAAAGACAAAATTGAGAGATGAGGTTGTGAGTGAGCAAGCACCTTTTGTGTATGCCATCCTTCCTCAACTACAACAGCCCCCTGGGGCAGAGTGTGCACTAATCCTTGGCCTTCTCAGGTCACCTCTGTTCAGCAGTCTTAGGACTTATACAGTGTAGACAGGCTTTTGGGGGGCTCAGAGTAGAAACAGGGCAAAGTTAAAACTGCAACTGGCTCCTTGGAGAATCATGGTTAGACACAGAAAGCAGGACTGCTTAACAGGCGTGACCTGAGGATTAGTGCGTCCTGGGCCATGAGGTGGGGCTGTCAGAGCTGGAGAAGGGAGGACACACACACAGAAGGGACTTAGTGTAGAGAGGCTTTGTTTGGACTGAGGGTAGAAGCAGGACAAAGTTAGGACAGCAACCAGCTCCTTGGAGAGTCATGGAGAGGTTGACTCTAACACAGGCTGAGGGATCTCAGCAAGACATTTCTTCATCTCTTGTCTCCATTGCCTTGTTCTTATCCTCTGTACCTGAAAGACCTGATCCAGATTATTCCTTGAGCCAGAAGCAAAAGTGCTTGTCCTTGAAACAGATGCCCCCAAATGTGAGGTTTTGCTGCCTAAAGAGGTTGGAAAATGGAAAGGGAGGGGACTAGAAGCTCTAGGAGGAGACCTCCTTAGGGCCCCAGGCAGCAGCACTGAGGACAGAAATTGATCTTAGCACTTCAGTGAATTCAAGAGAGCAGAATTTTGGGTGAATGGGAGAAGAACAAGTTGGCAGCTCAAGGATCTTCCGGGCTAAACCTGCTGCTGCTTTGCACCCAACCCAGACACAACAGGAAAGGAAATATGCCCAAGACCCCTCCCCCTCTGCTCACCTGAGTTTCTGGGAGGCAGAGGCTGGAGCTGCTGGGGGCTCAGGACTCCCAATCTCTTCTTCCTCAGGGCCTCGGGCTCTCTTTGCTTCTGATGGGCCTAGCAGTTCTTTCTGAGACAGTTTAACAGATGCCAAGACTAGGGGAAGATGGGGGTGGTGGTCAGCCTCTGTGCTGATGCTTGGTGGATCCAGCCAATTCCTCAATTGTCCAGATCTGGCCTTTCCACTCCTGCCAACCCCAGTCCTCACCATGAAGCTGCAGGCTCTCATTAGTAAAAGGCCGGTTGATCACCTCCTTGGACCTGGCAGCAAAGTTGAGCGCAGAGACTGTGTCTAGGTAGAAGCGTCTCTCAGGGGCAATGTTGGCAATGAGGATGCTGTGGGCTGAGCCACCCAGAGAGTCCTAAGGCATGGGAATTGGGCAGGGTGGGTGAGTCAGAAGCCCGCCCTCCCATTACTTGACTGCTATTCCCCAACCCCGCAGCAGGCCTGAGAACCTCCTTCTCCAGCCCCTTTTCCCTGAGATGGGCGGCCCGACCTGCAACAGGCGAGTGAGCTTGCTGTCCCGGTAAGGCACACGAGGGAGACCCTGGTTCAGTGCATCTACCACTTTGCCCAGTACAAAGAGGGAGGTGTTGATGGCTCCACTCTCCTTCAGCCGCAGGCCCTTGTTGCCTGTTCGCCGGTTGTCCTCTGAGCCAGCCAAGTCAATCAGGTAGAGTTTCCCCTCCCGCTGGCGAAATGGGGCCAAACGTTCCCGCTGATCCACCTGGGAGTAAAGAGCAAGGGCCTCAGGCTTAGCTCAGGCTGTAGAGGCTTTTAAGGTCCTCACCCCTGTCAGTGGGCCTCACCTTAACCAGGAGCACAGCATGACTGCGGGAGGAGCGCTGGTTGAGCCGGGTGGCACCTACAGTCCGATTTTGACTGGCTGGCAGGAAGTGCCGCTCAAAATCAGCAAAGCTAGTGATGGGCTTCTGCGTGAGGCCTGGAATCAGGATGTTTCCTCGACAGTCTTCTCGGATCACCAGGTCTCCTGATGCAGGATCCAAGAGATCTAATACCTGTTTGAGCAGTGAGAGGTAGAGCCAATTCCCCAGACACAGGCTGTTTACTTCTTGGGGATCAGTCTCTTTTTCTCTGATGGAATCTCACAAGTTTTACCATCTGCTACCCCAAACTTTGTCATTCCAGGTCGTACCTCCTTGCTAGAGCAGAGCTTCATGTTCTAGAGCTGGGTCTTATTTTGACCCTTTTTCTCTTCCCTTTCCAATCAGAGCAGGGTCTCACCTTTTCCTGGTAGATCTCTAAGTAGGACATAGTGACAGAGAGGGCCCATGGCCGGCCCTCAGCACCCTCCTCCCTTGTGAGCTGTAGGAGATCCATGAGAGCCCTGGGAATCACTCCAGGTTGCTCTGGGCTGCCCAGCATTGTGTGCGTCTTCCCTGGGGAAAGAGTGGAGAGAGCTGTGAGATTTTCCTCCCCACACCCTAGCCCTTTCTGACTCATAGCTGTTCCCTATCTGGCTCCCTCACCTGCCCCTGTGGGCCCATAGGCAAGCACGCTGGCATTCTGCCCTTCCAGCAAGTGCCTTAGGATGGGCTGCACAGATCCTGCATAGATGTCCTGCTGAGAGCTCCTCTCCCCATAGAATGCATCAAACCTGTAGGCAGGAAGAAAAGAGGAAATTAGTGGAGCGTTCCATTCTCACCTAGACCTAGAGGATAATACTGGCCTCAGATTTAAAAGAGTCTCTATCCCTTTTCTTGCACAAAGACCTTAGAAAGCACCCACTCAACACCATCCATCCCAGTCCCTATACTGGTGTTAGGAATATGGAAATGATCTAATGTCCCTGCTCCTGGGAGTTCTGCAGTCTAGTGGGATAGATAGATATTCATACTTTGCTGTGATTCAGGAAATGAAGATGAGAACACACTAGAAGGTGTAGCTAATTCTTCTTGAGGAAGGAAGATTTTGCCCAAGAGAGAAGAGAAAGCTATTCTAACTATCAAAAATAGCACATAGACAAGACATGGTATGAAAGGGCAGAGCTTCCCAATCTTTTTCACATCACAGTATATATAGAAAGTAGTATTTGTACACCATAATGGAATAAATAGAGGATACTGCTTATGACTAGGTGAGACTCATCACACCTATAGTCCATTCGTTGCACTCTGGTCAAGAAGCTGTGGCTGAGGCCACAGCAGGGATTAGTATAAGTAGAGTATAGCATGTGTTAGGGGTATGAGGCTGGAAAGAAACTAAAGCCAAACTGTCAGGGGCCTAAAATGGGGTTGGCAAACTTTTTCTGTAAAGAGCCAGACAGTAAATATTTTAGGCTTTGTGGACCATATGGTTCCTTTCACAACTACTCGACTCTGCCATTGTAGTCGGAAAGCAGCCATAGACAATATGTAACTAAACAAGCATGGTTGTGTTCCAATAAAGCTTTATTTACAAAAAGTCTCCTGGTCAGATTTGACCTGCAGGCTGTAGTTTGCCAGTCCCTTGCCTACAATGACAGGCCAAGGAGTCTGAACTTTAAATCTCCACTGGGATTTTTTTTTTTTTTTAGATTTTGTTTTTTTTTCCTTTTTTCTCCCCAAAGCCCCCTGGTACATAGTTGTATATTCTTCGTTGTGGGTCCTTCTAGTTGTGGCATGTGGGACACTGCCTCAGCGTGGTTCGATGAGCAGTGCCATGTCCGCACCCAAGATCTGAACCAACGAAACACTGGGCCGCCTGCAGCGGAGCGCGTGAACTTAACCACTCGGCCACGGGGCCAGCCCCTCCACTGGGATTTTAAAGTAGCTGTCCTTGTGAGTATCTGGGTGGTCTTCTCTGATACCACCCAGCTGCAGCCTATGTTGGCTGGCTGGTCTATGTACCTCCAACCCTTCCCACCCCTCCCCAAGACCCTAGCTGGGGCTCTCCTGCTCACCTTTGCTGCTCCTTCTCCTCTTTGTGCCTATTTCCCCCACAAGACTGTGAACAGTAGTAATGTGTCTGATTTAGCTTCCAGTCTTTTCCCACAGTATCCTACAGAGGACCCATCACAATGGGCACCCGTGAACATTTCCTGAATGAACAAATGAAGCTGTGAGGAACAAAGCTGCACTAAGGAAGGAACAAGGATCCTGAAGAGGCAGGTCTGAGAAACCATCTGGGCAACTGATAGTGTGAGCAGGCCTAGGTGATCCCTAGTGTCACAGAGATGGGAGGGAAGAGTGGCCTGAACCTTACTGGTATTTAAGAGTCTCCTGGTGGTTCCTCCAGTTGGCAATCTCTAGAGAACAGCTGTCCAGGCCCCGTACACAGGGGGTATCATTTTCTCCAGCTGTTCCATCCACAAATGGTCGCAGTCGTACAGCCACCCTTACTCGAGCTGGAGGTGGGCGCCGGCCAGCTCCCACCTTGCTTAGCCGACAGCGACCAGCTCCTGAAGGAGAGAAGAGAAGTTTTAGGCATGAAGTATGGTGAAAGCACAGAGGAAGCAGGGACCAGCTTTGCTGAGAGGTAGGGGTAGGAGTCTTGGAGGAGGAGGTACTTGATGTAACTGAGCTCTGAAGGATGAATAGGAGCTTGCCAAGCATTCCAGTCATATGCAAAAGCATGGAGGTGTGAAAGTGTGGCTTCCCTGGAGAACTGGTGGGGCAGGACTGGTGTGTGTTCTGTTAGTTAGGGTGAGCAGAGAAGGGCAAGACGGAAGAAAAAGATGAATCCAATACATGGTCTCACAAGGAGTACAGCGGGAGTTGAAGGAGAGAGATTATATACAGGTCAGGGACTGTAAACCACATCGTGTACTTCGCAAGCATTAACATTTATTAAGCACTGACTCATGCCAGGCATACTTTAATCTTCATGGCGTCCCTGAGATGTAGGTTCTATTAGTCCTTTTTTACCAAATGAAATGGCTCATAGAGGTGCAGTAGCTCTTCTGAGCACCAGGATATTTTATACATGGGGCCATTACTTTATCTTGTATCATAACCTACATTTTATCTTTTTGCTCTTCAAAGGAGGAATAAGCAGAGCCTATAAACAGAATAAATCCCCAGCATCTTATAGACTAGAGACCTCCATAACCTTGACAGAGAGGCAGGGAAAATGGCCTGGAGGCTGGGGTCCTAGGGATATCATTGGGAGGGCCAGGGGCCACAGCTCCTTTTGGGGAAGGTCTTTCCACCCTGGCTGTACTGTGGGTGTCCCCACGCTTGGCCTCAGTTCCTTCCCTGCTTGATAAGTAGGTCCAGTGTGGTGTAGATTGTAATGTGTACACAAATAACCTGGAAGATCTTGTCAAAATGCAGATTTGGCATCAGTCCTTGGGGTGATGCATGAGATTCTGCATTTCTAACAATCTCCCAGATGCTGCTGGTGGGACACACTTTGAATTGCCAAGGTGTTCGTAGACCAGTATCCTGCGGGGTTGTTCTAAACATTAAAACAGTTGACATTTGCCCCCACCCAAAACCAGTCAATCAACTGCCTTACTTTTCTGTGCCTCTATTTCCTACCTAGGGTTTACAATATATACTTACATGTGTATGCCTACATACACACACTCTCTAAACTGTTAACAATGGTCTTCTCTTGATGGGGTATTATGTGGGTTTATTTTCTATGTTAACTAGTTCTATAATGTTGTAATGTTTGCATTAAAAACAACACCACCACCACCATGGATGTCCCTGTTTGGCAGGAGTAAGGTTGAGAGGCAGCCTCTAGTCTCTTTTTGTCCTTGCTCAGTTTGCAAAAGGCAGACATGCAATCCTTCTCTATTGTAAGCTTTCTGTTTAGTTTGCTTCTGATAATTAAATCTAAGTCATTTGGAAAAAGAAAAAAGGTTATGAATTATTTTTATCATCAGAAAACACAAGATAAAACTAAAAAAAAAAAGCGTCTTTATTTTTATGAGGACTGAATGAGCTGAAAAATATGTTATGAGGAGGGTACTTCTTTATTTTACATTGGGGGATACCATACTGTGGCTCACAGCTAACAGCTGAATTCAAACCTAGATCTCTTCACCTCCAAAAATCTGCTTTTAATGAGGATGCCATATTGCCTCCCTATTATATACCAACTGGGGAAGTTCTTGGTAGCTCTGATTCCTTTTGTGCTGGTGGTAGCAGCTGGTTGTTGGGAGTCATAGACCTCATCTAAGGCAAGAGGCCAACACAAAAACATCAAGACAAAAAGGTGGGCAGACTACCCCTGGAAAGAATCTTACACATACATGGGGCATACTCATAAGCAGATGGCCTATTTCAAGAACTGGGCTTCTGTTCCTTCATCTGACACGTGAAGCTGGTAACACTATTTCTCACTTTCTGGTTTACAAAGCACTTGGACATCTAGTTTTCATTTGATCCTCATGGCAATCCTGAAAGTCAGCAGCAAGTAAATAGGAACCTGCAGATGCACCTGCGCAGATGAGAAAACTAAGTTGCAAAGATGTTCACCAACTTGTCAAAAATGTGTGCAGGAGCCTTTCCCTTGCCTATCTTTCTCAGATTTTTTTGTGAGAACAGAGAAAGACGAGAGAAACAGAAGCACTTAAGGAAGCTTAGTGATCAATTCAAGGGGAAGGGAAAGTCTGTGGTGACCTAGAAAGAGGGTAGATTCTGCTCAGACAGAGGTGAATGTCAATTCCAGCTCTACCACTTACTAGCTTGTGACCTTGGGCAAGTGGCTTAACATTCATGTGCCCTGTTTCCTTGTCTCTAAAGTGGAGTGGAATGGGCCTTGGAAAGGCTTAATGAGGATTAGAAGAAGTAACATATAAAATGCCATCACAATAACTAGCACATAGTAGGTAGGTTCATCATTCAAGGTAAAATGGCCTGGGTTCAAATCCCAGCTCTGCCACTTAAAACTAACTAAATAATCTGGAGAAATTATTTTCTATTCCTGTGCCTCAATTTCCACACCTGTAAAATGGGAATAAAAATATCTACTAGTTGGGTTAAGGCAGTAAATAAGGTAATTCAAGGTAATTCATGTAAAAGTGCTGAGAACAGCATTGGTACTTGGTAAAAGCTCAGTAAGTGTTTCATTTTACATTCATCCCCCATTTTCCAAACAAGGAAACCTCAGTATAGAGAGGTTAGCTAATTTGCCCCTGGTAAACAGCCAGTTAGTGACAGAGCTTCAAATGAAAGTCTAACTCTAGAGTTCGTTAAACGAAACCCCAGGCCTTCTCAGCCCCTTCATCTTTGTATCTCCATGGGCCTTGGAGTCAGACAAGTTCCACCTACTAGCTGTGTGATCTTGGGAAGGCTTCTTAACCTCTTCAAGCCTCAGGTTCTTTTTATAAAAATAACTACAGTATCTACCCTCATAAGATTGTGAGGAGTCAAAGGAATAATGTACATACAACGTTTAGCACAATGCCAACAGCAAGGACTCAGTAAATGTTAGCTGTTGCTATTATTATTACACTCTTTCTCTTGCTACTCACTTCTCAAGGCAGCAACTCACTTTTGCCCTCACCACTCAGCAGGGTCATCAATTACCTCCTTACTGTTAAATCCAGTAGACATGCTCGGTCCCCATCCTATTTGACTTCCCAGCAGTATTCAACATCCTTGATCTGCTTTTCTTTGGGAAATAGACTTTTCCCTTGCCACCCACTAGCTCTCTCTTCACTCCTTCTTAGTTTCTGCCAGTCTTAAATGTTTTTCTAGGCTCCTTCTAGCCTCTCTCTAGACCAGAATTGCTCAATTTTGACACTATTAACATTTTGGGCTGAATAATTCTTTGTGGTGGGGCTGTCCTGTACATTGTAGGATGTTTAGCACACACTATGTACTAAACACGTCAGTAGCATTCTGCACCCCCCTCAGCCCCACCCAACTGTAACAACCAAAAATGTCTCCAGACATCACAAATGTCCCCATGGGGAACAAAATTGCCCCTAGTTAAGTACCACTACCTTGATTCATTTCATGGGCATGGTCACCTGCTCTCTTGGCTCCAATTACTATCTTAAAGCTGATGACTCCTAATCGACACCTCCACACCACAGCTCTCTCCTGAACTTTGGATCCACATTCCCAGCTGCTGCCCTGACATCTTCTCTGACATGGCTGTCAGGTACTTCAAACTCCTCCTGTCCTAAACAGAACCCTTCCCCATCTCTCGCAACCTCATCTTCCTTCCATGCTCTCTAACGAGAATGAATGGAACCAACTCCAAAAATGAGAGTCTTCCTTAACTCTACCTTCTCTCTCACTTCCCGCATCAGTTACTTATTAACATCTGTCAATTCTACCTTTTTAAGTGAGTCCACTTCTCTCCATTCCCACTGTACAATCTTTGCCAAAGTCATCATCTCAACAGTCTTCCAGCCGGTCTCCCTGCCTCCAGTCTCACTCCCTTCCAATCATTCTCTCTCCCCTTCTTTCCTTGCACTGTAAGCTCTCAGCCATTATGAATTTCCTTCAATTCCTACAACACACCAAGTTCTCTCACACCTTTGGGCCTTTGCACATGCTATTCTCTCTCCCTGGAATATCTTCTTTACCCCACCTACCCCCCAAGTGACTGAGGTAAACGCTTATACCTTACTTCCTCTAAAAAACTTTCCCTTGTAAAATTACTCTCCCACTAAGGCATTGTTAGGTGCACCTATGGCTCTCTTTAGCTCCTCCATCTAAGCACTCATCACACCCCACTGTAACTGCACATTTGTCTGCCTTCTCCATCTGACTGTGAACTCAGCGACAATAAGTCTTTTTCTGCTACCCTTTGTATCTCCAATGCCTGGCAGAGAGTAGGCTCTCAAGGAGTATTTGCTGAACAGGTTAAGATGTGGTGAATGAACTAACATAAAACATGGGCTTGTTCGTTCCCTGTTTTCATCATAAAAGTGGCTCACTGCCATTCTTGCCCCAAAGCTCAGTCCAGGGGAGGAGGGAAGGAGAAGCACACATAAACAAGTGCTTACACTACATCATAAAAGCAATTTTGAGGGTGCACAAGGCTAGCACTTACTTATTATAATTTCCCCCCTCCCACAATTCCCAATTTTCATTCAGCTTAACTCTTTTTTATTGACTAGGAATTTAAGCCAAAGAGAGCAACTTTAACCTCTCTTTACATCATAAATAAGAAATCATTTCATAGTCTTGTCGTCCTGCCACGGCCTGGCAAACTCTTATCCAACCTTTGAAACCCACCTTAAATATCACTTCCTTAATGAAGTCCTCCCAGAATACCCAAGGGTTTACTTCAGATTCTAACTCTCATAGCATATAGATAGATATATATACACAGACATACATATCTCTCATTGCTTTTCATATTATATGTTTATATGACTACGGAAACAGACTATAAGCTCTTGTAGGGAAGGGACAGTATTCATTCAAGCATTTTTACGATATTAACTATGTACCAGACACAGTGGGTCTTGGAAGGATGAGGGGAGGTTGGGCTCAGACAGCAGGAATATGATGTGCTTGGGCATAATAGTTAAGAGCAGAGGCTCTAGAGTCAGACTGCCTGGGTGCAAATTCAGACCCCAATATTTACTAGCTGTGTTAACCTTGAGCTAGTTACTAAACACATCGTGCCTCAGTTTCCTCATCTGTAAAACGGGGACAATAATAGTAACCACCTCATAGCATCGCGTTGAGACTAATTAATCACCATAAATGCTTGCAACTGTGCCCGGCACCTAGCAAGGGCTCAATATGTGTTTGACATTCTACTAAATAGCTTTGTTTTGCCACAGAACCTGACAAACAGGGACTCAAATAAACTACTATGGTGCCCACCTAATCACTACCAGAATTCAGTCTACAGGCAGAGAGGAGACGCATATGTAAACAAAGACTCGCAAGATTCTGAGTGTCCTCACGGACTTTCCAACCCTACCATAGCACTGACTTCCACGGCTGGAGTGAACGGAAACAGTCCCTTATTTCCCTTTTTCTGGGGTCTTAGCGCATCTTATGCTGTGGACTCACACCCAGCTGCAGCCCAGCTGAGCCCCGCCTGCCCTCCGACAGCCCTCAGGGATCTCCCCGCACCCAAACACGTCATATACAGAACCCTTCCCCCTAAATGCGCGTCCAGCTCCCTTCCTTTCGTCCTTACGGTGAGAACGTTAGCCACTTTCACTCGCTTATTCACGTAATCTCCTGAGATCGGGACATCGTCCCCATTTTACAAAAACACTGAAGCTCACAGAGGAAAAGGGCGCTGGGCTCAAACGAAACTAGTGCCGGAACCGGGTCTCAACCCGGGTCGACTGATCCGCGCGGACAGCAGGAAACAGTGAGAAGGAAAGAGCGAGGTGGGCTGCCCAGTTTGCGACTCCCCACTCCCACCTTCCCCCTCCGCGCCCCCGCGCCGTTCTGGCTCTCCGGACAAGCCGCGGAGTCCAAAGCAGACTCCGACGTATTACCCTACAAGGCTCCAGGCTTCGTCGCCCCGCCCCGCCAGGCCGGCATCGCATACCCGAGGTCGCTGCCGCCATCCCGCGTCGCCTCAGCTGCGCCGGAACCTCCGCGTCCATTCCACTCTCTCTTTTGACTGCCTGTCCCATTCGAATTTCCCGGTGCCCCGCCCCCTCTACTAGGCTCCACCAATCACGGCTACTCGCCGCCGGAAGCCCCTGCTTGCGGCTGCAACTATTCCGCCCTTTAGGGCTTGCCTCCGGGTGCCGCAAGAAAAACTTTCCCCTGGCAGAGGACGCATGCGCGCACGTTGGCCGCCCAGCCGTTGACGTCCTGGCGTGCGTTCCGGCGCAAACTCTGACGCCCGAGGCGTTGGCGACAGTGGTTGTGAGGGGAGCTGCTGATGCTTATGCGGTTTCTTTTTCGTTTCATTTTTTTCCCCTCGGATAACTACGAATTTTGGTACAGTCAAGCCGACAGTGATCCAAGGCGCTTAATTGATTTATCCAAAAGTTTCCCTGGCCTGAATACAACTTTTTCTATTTTAGGGGCAGAAGAGCTAGCCCTGCTGGGCCAGCGGTTAAGATTCAGCGCTCTCACCGCCATGGCCCCGGTTCATTTGTGGATCAGGGAACCACACCACCCACCTGTCGGTTGTCATACTGTGACAGGTGTGGGCTGCTGGCATGCTGACAGCTCTGCGACCGGTATTTCAGATACCAGCAGGGTCGCCCGTGGCGGACAGGTTTCAGCAGAGCTTCCACAGTAAAACAGACTAGAGAGAAGGACCTGGCCACCCACTTCCGACAAAATTGGCCACGAAAACCCTATGAATAGCAGGGGAGCACTGTCCGATAGAACGGAGAAGGGGAGAGGACGGCAGGGTTCTCTGTGTTGTGCACAGGGGCCAGGGGAATTGGAATCGCTTCTACGGCACTAACAGGAAGTGACGGAAGAGGTGATTATATGAATAAGGATAACGTTGTCTAGAAACAGGATTATTCTAAACGACTGGTAGTGATCTTCACTTTCTCCAGTTTCTTGCCTCAGAAGTTGCTTCGCGCGCCTGTGGGGCGGGAGTCGTTTTGTGGATTGCCGGACTTGACTTCGGTGCAGTCAACGTGCTTTACCGTCTGGTGACTTGTGTAGGCCTGGACTACGCTGGCTGGATTGTGGACAGTCGCGTGGCACTTACCTCTTGCTGAGCCCAAAGTCACTATGTGAGGTGCAGAGGCCAAGTGACATACTTACACCCTTATGTCGCACGGCTGAACTGAGGAGACCAGCTCGGATGTTCCTTACTTTGTAACTCAACACTCGACACATCAAGAGCCACAGTTAAAGGCATGCTCGGTCTGTCACTTCATCAGCTTCACCCACGGTCCCATGTTCTATGGGTTCAACCATCTGTTAAGTAGTTCCCTGTCCTTTCTAGAAGCTTAACCAGGAATGATCATCCCATCTTTGAGCTCCTGCTAGGGCCCTGCTTTAGACATTATATCCAACCTGTTAAAAAACAAAAAGCAAATATTAGGCTGGTGGTTCTCAAATTTTTTGGCCTTGAAATCTCTTTACGTTCTTAAAAATTGAGGCCCCAAAGATCTTTTGTTTCTATGGGTTTTATTTGTCCATATTTGCTGTACTAGAAATTAAAACATTTAAAATATTGGTTAATTCACTTAAAAATTACAGTAACAAATGCATAGAGACAGAAATAGATTAGTGGTTGCCAGGAGATGGGGAGGGGTTGGTGAATTGGCACTATTGCTGATGGGTATGGAGTTTCTTTTAGGGGAAATGGAAATGTTCTGGAATTAGTGATGATAGCTGCCCGACATAGTGAATATATTAAAAAACCACTGAAATGTGTACTTAAAATGGTAAATTTTATGTTATGTGAATTATATCTCCATTTAAAAATCTGCCAAAAAATTATAACAACAAGCCCATTACATGTAACATAAATAACATTTTAATTCAAAAAATAACAGTTTTCATGATCTACACCTTCCTGGCCAGCGGTAGCAACTGCAAGAGACTCTCTCTCTAGACAAGGCAGTTGAGGAGGAGGGGTGGGGACTGGCCTCGGAAATGTTCTTGCACGTGGAACGCTGCATTTGGAAGACAGCTGCCTGGAAGAAAAGATGCTTGGTTTTCACAAGCCAAAGATGTCCCGAAGTATAGAGTGCTGCTGTATTTGCAGAGCTAAGTTCTCCAGTTCTTGATTCACTGATAGAAAACACTATGACAAAGACTTACAGGGCCGCCCCGTGGCGCAGCGGTTAAGTTCGCACCTGCTGCTTTGGTGGCTCGGGGTTCGCCGGTTCGGATCCCAGGTGCGGGCATGGCACCACTTGGCACACCATGCTGTGGTAGGTGTCCCATGTATAAAGTAGAGGAAGGTGGTCATGGATGTTAGCTCAGGGCCAGTCTTCCTCAGCAAAAAGAGGAGGATTCGCACCAGTTAGCTCAGGGCTAATCTTCCTCAAAAAGAAAGAAAGAAAGAAAGAAAGAAAGAAAGAAAAGGAAGGGAGGGAGGGAGGGAGGAAGGAAGGAAGGAAAAGAAAAGAAAAAGAAGAAAGGAAAGGAAGAAAGAAAAGAAAGAAAGAAAGACTTACAGAGTTGGTTTGGGTTGCATGAGACTCGTTCAGTAGACATCTGTAATGCCTGTGGCCTGCTTGTGAAAAGATG